CGGCTAATTGTATACTTATTGATATAGTGTAGAAAATAGTAAACATGAAATCACTAGAAAATAAGTCAAAAACTTAAGCTTTTTCCCAAAATTGTCGATTACTACACGAGTACAGAACAAGCCATAGTAGTTGTAAACATGTCACAAAAAAATAGTTGCCGTAAGTATGTTTAAATCAAAATTTCAAAATGATATTCTCCTTATATTATCAGCTTTTACCATAAAAGAGGGACGAAAGATACAAAGGGACAGTCAAACTCATAGATTGATAACAAACTGACAGCGCCATGGCCAAAAATAAAAAGACAAACAGACAAATAATAGTACAGATGACACAACATAGAAAACCAAAGACTAAGCAACACGAACCCCATAAAAACTGGGGGTGATCTTAGGTGCTGCGGTAATGCGATACGCAGCAAGGTGAAACGTACTTTAGATCCATCTGTACGCGTGAGTAGGATGATCTGGTTCAACTTTTCTAGAGTTATATGCATTTGTACTCAGAAAGTTATACCCTAACCAGTATGTAACTCATCTGACGTAGCCTGTTGGATAAATTTAGCGTTACTGAAAAAACTGTATAATAATTAAATAAGACTACTTAAAATGAATCATGAATTTCGCGAAAATTTGGAACCATTACTTAAATGCATCAGTTTACTGTCCACAGCCCCAGATTTTTTTTTCTAATTGTGAGTCAGATTGCTGATTATAGTATCATTATTAGACTATTTTTAAAGCACTATTATCTGTCAAATCTGTTTTATCTAAGTTTGAGTACTTTAAATATTATATTTAGGGTAGAAAGGCGGAATTTTCAGGAATTTTTTAGATACATTCTTGATCTGCAGTTAACGCACTATAAAATGTTCTATCTCTATTTATTTTAAGTAGTCTCATATAATTATTATACATTAAACATGATGAGACAATCAGCATCGGACTCACGTTACATTCAAATCTTCTAGTCTTATTTGATTACTGTCTTTTGACACCAAAATAAGTTTTCAACATTATAAATCTTGCCAAAGTTGGAAACTAGTGTCTTAAGTCAGCATGATCACTACTATGAATGGGTGTTTAACAACATTGACTACCCATGAGGGTCTCGCTCGGTAGGCACCATGATCACAGGCACATAACACATTTATATATGATTTTTTCCTAGACAAGTACCTATGTCTTAAAGGGGCATTAGCAGCATGTTCACTAATTTGACTCTAATTCTCATATTTGATTTATAACATACTAAAACGTATATTAAAATAACAGAAAAGTCTGAAATATGTGTATTCGATAATTTATATCAGCATTCCTAACGCGAAAAGGCGAAAACGCGAAATCGCGAAAACGCGAAAACGCGTTATCGCAAAAACGCGAAAAGACGAAATCGCGAAATCGCGAAAACGCGTTATCGCAAAGTCGAAAACGCGAATTCAGAAAGAAAAAATATTTCGCGTTTTCGCGTTTTCGACTTCGCGATTTCGCGTTTTCGCAATTTCGCCCTATATTATATAATAGGCGACAAACGCGAAATGGCCTTAAACGGCCACCATATGAAACAAATAATTATAAGATACATTTTAAAACACGAGCATGACATCAATTACGTTTTGAGGACGTTGTGACAAAACGGCTATACTTTTTGATACGATCTAAAAATCTTGTTGCCTAACGAAAACGTTAAACACTATTTACTTAGATAGTAAGAAAAAGAAAAATCGAAGAACTTTTACAACCATTTTTTTATATTCCATGATCTTACAATATTTACTTAATATAGAGCCGATCAAAACACTTAAGTGTACAAAAATATAACGTTTTTTTCCGTTGTGATAAGATGGCTATACTTTTTTTGAAGTCATTGCGGTAGTGACTATACTCATGTTTCCTGCAAGAAAATATCATGAACCAGGAATAAAATAATTGAACTTTTTAAAGTATAAATATTTTTCCTTTCCAATCCACGGTGTAAATGCACGAACTCGATATATGCTTACCTTGCATATGCTTGGACATTTTTCAGACCGTTTTCACATGACATTAGCCGGTTTACGGTTTGAGTGATATTGATTTTGCTTTAACATGCAAATAACTATAACAAAAGCAACATTTTTGTCATGGTTTACGATAATCGGAGAAAAATTACGATATCAAAGACACAGAACTCTGAACTTTTGCACACAAAATGTAACGTTGGACATTACGTTTTTGCGCATAATTGGAATTATTTTAAAATTGTTATAACTTTTGGTATTTTAAATTTCGGTTCTTATTTTTCTTTATTTTCAAGCCTATTAAACTCAATTCAACCAAAATCACTATATTTTTATTGAGCTTTTCAGTCTACGCCTTTATTTTTATGATAATCTATAACAAAATCAAAATTCGTACCAACATCGTGCGCAACGTCTATGCTATCACCCTTGTATTACCTCCGTAAATCATTTTACACCCTTTTGGGACCCCAACTTGCAAAGCAGAATCTTGTATACCGAATGCACCTTTTGCTATTGTAGAAAACATTGCATTATTAATTATCAATTCAACGTGAGTAGTTAGCTACAGAGACAGGAACTATTTCATGTAAACTTAATGCAGACGATGCGAACTACTTTACTTATAAACAGCAGTTTCCATTTCGTACGATTCGTCAAGTTACGCTTTCGTTCGTCAATATCCTGGCTATCTCTATTACAATGAAGCATGACGGAAGGGAGCATAGACTAGAAAGTGTCTTCATGTGTACACTAATTGCATTGTTCTCGTGTTCAAAACATACATGCATGGAAATTTCATTGCAGTGTATAATTTTGTTAAAAAGACCGTTTTAGTTTTATACTCAACGTATGGGAGTTTGATATTTTTTGGTCCGTCCATCCGTCCGTTCCGTTCTAGTTAAACAACTTTTAAGGTTCATGTGGACTCTGGCTAAAATGGCTGCATTTTTATCTCAAAATGTGTTCTGAGTACAGACAAACCTGTGTAACTAGAAAAATTTCAAGGCATAGCATGCTCTAGATGAATAAAATTCAAATACATTGTATGTTTTAGAAAATTAAAACCTAAGCAAGATTTTGCAGTGCACTTTTTTTCATTCCTCCAGAAGGTGCCAAAATAAACAAAGTTGTAAAAGAGGTTTGAGAACTTCCCCACACTGACAGGTAATAATTGAAGTGAACTGTTTTGATTTACATGGACAATAGAGGGACAATAGATACCTGACAATAATTGGTGATTTAAACTGTGTACCTGAGTGGACCATATCAAGTGAAACTCAACTGTTTGTTAATTTTATCATCGTCTGCAGGGACGAAAAAAAGTGCACAGAAAAATCAAGTTAAGTTTTATTTTTTTTATAACATAAAGTGTATTTGAATTTTATTTATCTAGGGCATGCTATGTCTTAAAACTATTTCAGATGCACAGGTTAATCTGTACTCAGAGTAAATTTTGAGGTGAAAACACAGCCATTTTAGCCATAGGGTCCACATGAACCTTAAATAAAAAATATACTGAATTAGGATTTGACCAGGATATTGCGGTTCATTGAACTTGAAAATGTGATACTGTGAAAAGGGGTGGGGTGGGTCACGGTATCTCACGGACACATAATGTTGTTTCATTTGTTTTAAAACTACTTGTTTGTGCATTTTCAATATTCATAATCTACCCCCTTTTTTGTATTTTATATATTTTGCTTTCAAATGGTGCATATTATACATTCAAACAACATATGTAATGAAAACGTATGATCATACTAGTCGAGACTTATATTTTGACGTTGCACAAGGTCGTGATCTTCTGCTCTGCATGGCAAAAAAAAAAAAAACCAAAACAACGAAAGTGCATTAATTAGCGTGCTGTCATGAGACTGCATTGTCAAAGAAACTTTCTATCGTGTTTTGCATTGTTTCTTACTAGACATCTTCGCCATAACCCAAAACAACGAAACCGACACAAAGGATAGTTCAGTGGGTTAAAGTTCGCCTCTGTAATTGTCAGTGTGAACTCAGTCAATTTAATTATTTACAATGTTAACGTTTTAATTCTGAAAGTATTATATCGATGATAATTTGACACATTTATTCACTTGATTTAAAAAAAAAATATATATATATATAGACGTGAAGGTTAATTCAAACTGTACTGAATACACTGGTACAACTAATTCACAGATTCAGATGTGGAAATGACTTTAAATATTATATACATTTATAATAAAGCATGTTGCGTCGAAGGGACTATGTTGCATATAGTTTTAGAACTTTTCAGTTTGCAAATGAGGTGTTCTATATGTCCGCGTAAAATTCTAGCTCGAATGTTGTTGTTGACGTTGTTAAATTTAGATTGATCGCAGATTAACCAAGTTTGATAGTTTAACCGTACCAATGGTTTATGGTGTAATAATCGAGTGTTCGGAAAGATAAGTGATGTTAAAGTGACAACGACTAGGAAACGGTGATTCGTCTTCTCGATCTATATTTTCCTTGTATATATTCAAATTATGGGCCGTGTAGAACGGAGGAACATGCAGAATTGTCAACTGTAAAAGATTATTTTTCTAGGGAATTTGTCTGTTTATAAATTTTATCATAAATGCAAAATACCTTTTTTTCCGTTAGCTTACATTTTCAAGAAAAGTGTATTTGTTCTCGTTCCGTGTATATTTGCGTCCATTCGTTTTTTGTTATGAAATATCAGAAACAAAAAACAAAAATTTATGAAGATACAAAATGTAACATACAACGGTCAATCCCTCTGGTAAATATAAAAAAGGTCCAAAAAGTAGTCAGTATTTTCATTTTGATAATTATAAATGTGTAATTGTTTGCGGATTTGTTCTTTTCCCGATTTGTTCATTATTTCTTATAGAATCAACGTGTAGTTCGATTGGTCTCAGTTCAAAATTCAACAAGGACATATTTTTTCATTATTTTCTGAATTTCCTACTTTGACGTCGCATTGAAAGAACATTATATTATCATTGTTTGCAGGAGGTTGTGATACTGGTTTGAAGATATATACAATGCTTACCAATAAAGGTGAAATTCTGAAGATGTTAGGTGAACCTACTCAGAAGTGTGAGTATACAATACAATAAAAAGCAAGACAAGACAAGACAAGACAATAATTGTATTTTTAATTACAGACGTTTAGAAGGGCAGAGTAATTACAAGTTTGCATCAGAAACATGTATAAGTTGTCTCATTGGCACTCATACTACATCTTCCTATATTTATATAATGGGCAAAACTATTATATTTACAATTCATAAGTTATCAAAGTAAAAAAAGTTATTACAGACAATATTAATTTAAATACTCTTTAATAATAGTATATCTTAAAGCTATCTGTTAAATCGTGCTATATAAAACTTCATTATCTTTTATTTCATATAGAATAAGATGGATGAATCAAGCTTGTTGCATGCATTTTTAAAAAGTTTATTTTCCGAATGTTGACGAGTATCTCAATCGTAGAGCTTTTCTTTTTATAATAATTACATTACATTTATGTTTCATAAGAATCCGTAATTTATATCGGTAGACAGCAATCCCAAGACATTCCAATACTATATTTTATTTCCCAATAAAATGCAACATTCACTACTGCACTTGCCTCCCATGACAACATCACCAGGTCAAAACAAGGAAAAAAAACTAAAAGATCGACATAACTCGCAGTTTCAAGGATTTCCCATAAAATGTAATTAAAAGAATTGAATACTTATTTTTGTAATTTTATAGCGTTGTATGTTTTAGGCCTCATACAAAATGTGTTTCGACGAACGCTTTTACACCCCAATTAAGTCGTTTCTTGTCAGGTGATTAAGATATGTTTTCCTCGATAATTGTTTATTGTAAATATATACATATACAAGACATTGACGTATTCATGGGACTTGTACTGTCGGGGGATAAATGCAACGCGGTAAAGGCGTGGATCTAGATTTGAAGCAAGGGGATTATAACTTAGAGGACCTTTGAAATACTTTGACGCAAATTGGCTGTAAATTTACCATTTTTACATATTTCATTTTTATTTTTAGAGTAGGACGGGATGCACCTGCGATAGAAACTTATTCCAATATAAACATATCGACACAAACTACTAAAACTTGTTATTATTTCACAGAATATAACTGCCAGACAGTTCAATCCGGGCGTTCTGAATCTACAATAAATTATGTACAAATATATGGCTTAGGCACGTAAACATTTCATATACAGCAATGTATCGTACAGTGTTGGCATGTTAAGTCATCAATATAAAACACAAAATTTAATGTTTAACTCAGGCTGTACTGACTTTTTTAAACGCACGATTGTTTACGAACCAAAGGCACACAACTGTCGGAAAATTAATTAATATGTATACAAATAATTTCAATTAACAACTGGTACATGTATTGTTAGCGCATGTACCTCGAAACTTTATTTCATATAACCATTTTATTTAATAGCTATCTTTATAATTTGTTTACTGTACCGTTCGTCAATTTTAATCTGTAGTTTGGTTGCGTGTTTTGATCATGATACTGTATCATTCGTCTACACAATACAAAATAAGCATCCATACCAAAATAAACTGCATTGAAATACTTTTTATTTTAGTTTATTAACCTCGCATGTAGTGAAAGTTAGAGATCAATTTAAAATTAATATTTGCTGGTTTAGATATTTACGTTCTTAACGATGGTTAATAAAAACGCTGCGGAAGCACGCAATTGATAAAGAGTTATATTCATCAGCGCAGAAGACCGTAAATCGATACTGACATGATCAAAAGACTAATCTCATAAGAAAAAAATATATAGAAACTATATATAACTCCCTCGCGTAGGTGTTGCCATTTGATCATATAACCCTCAAGTATTTTGAGCGTTCTCGATGCATGCAAAAAATTCAGGAATTTACCTGATTTATTTTTATTACACTAGTACAAATATTGTTGCTATCATGACACAAGCATCAGATAATAGTTTCAAACAATAATTAAAGCTTATTTTATTTTATCTAAGTGTGAAAGGTCTCAAATTAAAGTCACAACCACTACATTTCTATTACAATCGTTATGTCATGATATTAATAGCCTAGTGAACAGGCATTTAATTGTATGTTTTTTTTAACTCAATATTACCATGTTTGTTATTGTCTAAATAGGTTCCATCAGTAATTCAAATATTTCAAAAGTACAAAATACTGAATACAAATTACCTTTCTGCAATCAGTATGGTTAAGTTTTGTCAAACGGCTCAACAATTGCTGATTCGTCATTGACTCGCAAGACCGTATTGACCGAGTTGTTCCGTCACAAAGATCAATGAAATAGGTATAAAACGTTGATTTACGCTATTCCTATCATTTTTCGTAAAGCCTGAAATCAAACAAGCCGAGGAAGATGTTGCACATGCTATATTTGTCTGTTTTATTCCTATATTACCGGGGCCATAGGCCCATCGGCTATCTTCGGAGGTCGCGGCAATGGCTAATTGAGACAGTCTCGCAAAACGCAAGATTTTTTTATTTTACTTTTAAACGATTCCATACATTGTTTATTGTTTTCTAATGACCTTTTGTAATTCTGATGTAGGTTTAAGCATATTGTTAATCATATTTGTTATTTTGCGTCAATTTGTTGTGCATGAATTTGGCAGATAAAGCCGTTTTGAGATATGAAGGATATAACTTAGCCTCTTATAAATAAGATATACTATCTGACAATAACAGTAACGGTACCAGATGCTCATTTCGATATATAATGTCTCTTCACAGAAATGCACGAGTTCAAAATATTTGGAAATCCAACACCTGTTTTACGTGCAAACAAACCTCCCGCTTTACCTTTATAGATCATACGTCGTATACTATAAAATACATTTAAAAACCTGCAAACTAAATATACGGATAGGATGACCTTTGAAGAAAGTAATGAAAAGGCACATAATTTTGAAAGCAGGGCCAAATGATCTATTGGAAGCTAGTTAGACAAGCTAAATCTGTTGGTTAGATTCTGCCTCCAAAGGAAAAACTAAATTGACAGAATCAACACTTCTTACAGGTCTTATTAAGTTTCATTTTGAAATTTGATTGCATCGACTGTACTTATGAGAGGCCAGTCGGTATTTAAATTGACAGATCATCAGAAGAGAGGACGATGTTTACTACATTAGGGAGTAGACCATGCCTTTACCCTACAGTATCTTTTACCCTGAACCTTACATTCCTTAAATTCAACTTCATTAGAATATATCCGAGCAAATCGTACAAATTAAGTTGTAAAACGTCCACTCCAGTAGATGTGGCAAGAGGAACATCGACGTCATTAAGAGGAACGTAAGTGATGGCACAGTGTCTCTTTCGTCATATATTTTATTTTCAAATGTTCATTTTTGTATAAATATAGTTATGTCTTGAAATTGATAGTTTTGACTGTTATTATAAGCTTTGGTATGATGAAGTTCTTTGGGATAAATGAATTTAAAAGGTTTCTTATATCGGGATTATCAACAGTAAACAAATCATCAAGGTATCTAGTATTATTGTTGACAATATGATAATTAGTTTGTCAAAATTTGTAATCTTCATATTTTCATAAACGAAGATTCGTGCAGTGAAGGAAAAGATCTACAACTAGTGGTGTGCTGTAAGTTCTAAAGGGAATTCTTATAATTTGACAATAATAATTAAGTTCAGAAGGACGGACATGTTGTTCTCCATCGGATAAGTTAGGATAATACTGGCTGATGTCTCACATCAAATTCGTATACGTCGACGAAATTTTACTCAACACTGTTAGATTTGCCAATTTGTGGTATCTTTAATCATTTCCTTTGAAATGTGTCCAGTTATAAAGACCACTAAGCCAACTATTCTTCATAAACTACTTGCTTTCATTAGTCCAATAAAGTAAAAATGTAATTTCAGATGCATATGATTACGTGAAACGTCTGCACTTTCTTCTTTCAAATTTGAATGACATATCAATTGAGGAAACACCTGGTATTTGGAACTGTTATGCTGACAGACTGAAAAAAAAGTTACGCAACTATTGTTCAGTATGTACATTTATAAAATCGTAGTTATCCATTGCTGTTAAACATAACAATGGATTTTCTATTTTAGAAAAAATATCAAAGATACCGGGCTAAGAAAGATGTATACACAACACTATTTTCGTCTACATCAGATTCATCAGTGGCGCTCCTACTAAAACAACTTAAAAAACCGAATCAATTAAAAAATTAATGTGATTCATGAACAACGACGACAACATAACGAAATATCAAAAAGTTCTGTCAAATCTAGCTCAGACATTTCGTACCTGGGGGTAAACATGTATTATCATCACATATAAAACATAATCCGAATTTACAAAATAAGTTGTTAATTTGTTTTATTAAAACTGTGTTCAAATTTAATAGCAAAAGGGTGTCTATTGTTACAAGCTGTATTGCTTGTTTTTTGTTCTACCATAAGACGGGCCAGTCAACTATTTATGTGCCAAAATCAGTAGATTCTACGAAGAGTACTTTGAAATACAAGATATTATTTAATGCATGTGGAATACACGATATTATTTAATGCATGTAAATTTTTCATAATGCAATGATTGAAATGTTTCTTCTCAAAGGGGAAGAGTTGTTTAACTCACTTGAACCCATCAGTGAAATTATCTAGTTGGGGTCAGTAATTATTATTATCTTTTAGTACCAATATAGCATAGACTGTGGATGACTTCACAATCTGATTTCATTCAACCTTATAAGTCGAAAACAAACTGACAATGTAATTGCAAAAACATAAAAACGATCAAAAGACAAACAGCATCATACAAAACACAACATAGAAAACTCAAGACTGAGAAACACAAAGCCCACTAAAAACCGTGAGTGACCAGGCACTCTGGAAGGTTTAGTACATCCTTAACCACATGTGGCATCCTTCATGTTGCTCATGTAAGTACAAACCCAGTGATAAGTCTAAGGAAGAGGAATTTAACAGATGTATGTGGTGTGTGGAATTGCAAGAACAGTAGTTTTTAAAAGTTTGCTTTATTTTCCCTCTTCCTACTCCACTTTCACATTTGGGCAATATTAAAATGTTGAAACAGTTACAATTAATGACTTAGGAGTGGATAAGAAACATTCCCTTATCCACTTATTTGTAATGCATAATCACTGGATATGATTCATCAAAATATTTTAACAGGAGTAAAACGATGCACATGATTTCTCCCCAGGTTTTTGGTTAAGCTTCTGTTGCTCACATTTTAGTATTTGTTGCGTTGGTTTTCTATAGCTATTTGTTTGTTCATCGTATAAAGTTTTGATCATGATGTCATCTTTTTATTTTTGAATTATAAGTTTTTTACCCTTGATATTTTCCGTCTCTTTTTACACAGACAATACAAAATTTAGAATAAACAATATAAAGTAGGTTCAATACTGAATAATCTCTTTGCTTAGGATACTATGAAAATAATCAAAATTAATGAAATAAATAATCTATATCACATCGACATTTATAACAGTAAAACTATATGGAAGAAATATTACATATATGCAGTATAATTATAAATCATCTCAATGCTGTAATAAATTTGGTTGAGAGGAATAATTACTATTAAAGATATTGACTTCAAAAATTATTTCAGGTGACACAATTGTATCACATGTTTTGCTGCTGGATTTACGACAAAACAAAATTCCAAAGGTTTCTTCGATGGGCATGTGATGCCGAGATTAGCAATGCTGGTTTTTCGCACATCAGGAGAGCTGTTACAGCATTTCGTCAAAAGTATTGCTTGTTAAACAAACTCCCATAGTATGTATAAAAAAATAATTTGATCATTTTATTTGTTAACATGGCTAAAGTTTGAATAATGAAAAAATCACATATTTTCTCATAGCAATCAAATTGTAATATGAATGTATTTAATTCATAGTGATACTATTATCTATCCACGTCTTTTTCTTATATATATGTTCTATTTACGCCAAAGCGTTAATTATGTAAACTCCGATCTTGGTATTTCTGTTATACATTTTTAGATCTTAAAAATAGAAACGTATTCCTGATACTCATCAAAAATACCTGGTTTAAGGCTTGGTATAAATAAGACTCATCAGTGGCATTCGAATCAAAACAGCTAGATGTGTAAAAAAATCGAAGTTTAAGAACATTGAAAACTAATCATTTCAAAATATTGTATCAAAATATCGGTCAACCTAGTCGTAATGGTGACCGTAAAACGTGTATTGTTCAATTTAGTCTTCCTACATCATAACGCTTTTGAAGCAGTTTTTGTGCTGCTCCACAATCCTGTTAATAAAGTCAGAGTAGTGCCAGCATGCAGGAACGTAACTTATTAACTTAGATATGCGAACACCATACGATGGAGCAGAAGCTTTGTTACTGCTAAGAAATGGGAAGTTGACAATTAGAAAATTGAAATTACACGTTTGTCATAGATTCTAGTTTAAAGTCGTTCATTTGTGTCCATATCGAGGTATTTTCCGGATATCAAGCAGCTCTTTTGTCATCGGTAGAATCCTTAATCTCAAGTTCATTGGAATATGTGAGATTTAAGCACTCATTTACAATCTGGCTTATTGAGTGACAGAACATCTGCAATATATATGAAAGAGAAATTATAGAACTTAATTAAAGATGCTGTTTCTTTTAGTCTATCAGAAGGATTTGTATGAATTTTCTTTCATATAAGAAAGAAAAACAAGTTGGCCAGTAGTGGTGCACAACTAGTGCCCATTGAAATATCGAATAGATATAAGAAGATGTGTATGAGTGCCAATGAGACAACTCTCCATCCAAGTCACAATTTATAAAAGTAAACCATTAAAGGTGAAAGTACGGTCTTCAACACGGAGCCTTGGCTCACACCGCACAGCAAGCTATAAAGGGCCCTAAAAATTACTAGTGTAAAACCATTCAAACGGGAAAACCAACGGTCTAATCTATATAAAAAAAACGAGAAACGAGAAACACTTATGAACCACATCAACTAACGACAACTACTGAACATCATATTCCTGACTTAGGATAGGTGCAAACAATTGCAGCGGGTTTAAACGTTTTAATGGTACCAAACCTCCACCCTTATCTGCAAAATAGTGTAACATCACAACATAAAAAGACACACTATAAAATATCAATTGAAATGGCTTAACTCAATCAAAAGACATATTAAAACAAGTGAACATACACCGAACAAATAAATTTGATCTATGATACAATGTAAATACAAAATCAATAAAATAAGGGATGAATAATTAAAGTAACAGTATTATACCGCTGTGAAATGTTAAACAATTTCAGAAAAGCAACAATAACCTTAAATAAAAGTCCGCCATTTACAATTTATACACAGTTAAATGAAAATAATTTTGTTGTTAGGTATACAGTTTAAAAAGAGAAAGGAAATATTTTTACAAAATAAATAATTTTAATGTTCATAGTTCGAAGAAGTGAAAATTTATAGTAATACCAAACACTTATTAAACTGGTATATAGACCAGATATAACCCTGAATAAGTAAACATTAAATAACAAAAAAGCATTACAAATAGTATCAACAGGTCAAATTAACAAGAAAGTACGATTTGAGAGTACTCGCAGTTACTGACAGCTAGTTAAAAGCCAAAAACAACTAATAATAAAAAATCATGCATCAGAGACTAAAATCAACTAAAACACATCCCAGGGATTTAGTATTTTAACGTCATGGACAGTCAAAGAAGACATGACTGGTGCAATGCCAAACATAAATGTATCGACAGGCAGTAGGATAGTTAGGAGTTAACCTCTTAATTGATAAAAATAAACGTGGGTGTGTCTTTATACATCCCGTTTGAAAAGAATACAAATTTAGTTATGTATTAACCTGCCGACGACAAAATCGATATTAGTGCCAATGTAAACTATATTCAAAGATCTAATTACAACATTGGTAAGATAACCTTTACTAATAAGTTTGTTTAAAGGTTCGATCAGTTTACACGGGTCACATAGTGATTTCCGCGCTTTTAGTACAATATTACCGTAAAATTTAGGATGTGAAATACCGTTTTTGATAAGTTTTCTACAGGTACAGCCAAATTTACTAATCAAATCTGTGTATCTATGAAAGAATTTAGTAAAAGTTTTAAGTAATTTATGGTAACGAAATCCCTGACTTAATAATTTACCAGTGATGCATTGATTACGTTCGTTAAAATCTATGATATCACTACACACACGGGCATAACGAACGAGTTGGGATATATAAACACCGTATGATGGAGCCAAAGGAACATCGCCGTCTAAAAAAGGAAAATAAACAATAGGGAATGAAAAATCGTCCCTTTTTCGTAAATTTTAGTATGGAGTTTCCCTTTAGAAATTGAAATGTCTAAATCTACAAAAGGACAACTACTGCTGTTTATGTTAGATTTAGTTAAAGTAAGTTCTGTTGGGTAAATTTCGGTGCTATATTTAGAGAACTCTGGATTATTTAACTAAAAAATATCATCCAGATAACGGTAGGTATTGTTGAATGTATCAACCAAATGTAACAATGACGTGTCTTTACTGAGTTTGGTCATAAACTGAGATTCATAGCAATACAGGAATAAATCTGCTATTAAAGGGGCACAGTTAGTGCCCATAGGAATACCTACTACTTGTCGATACACTTTATCGCCGAAACGTACATATATGTTGTCCAGGAGAAAATTTAAAGCTTCAATCATATCTTCACATTTCCAATAAGGTATCTATAGTTATAAGAATATGTGGTATGAGTGCCAATGGGACAACTCTCCATCCAAGTCAAAATTTAGCAAACTTTCCTTTTTCATGACAGAAAAAGGCTTAAAACGAGTTACAGCAAATAAATTTGCAACGATATTTCTCAAAAGACCATTCAATTAAATATGAAAGCTTTTTCTTGATAAGATTGTGTGAAAGTGTAGTGTAGAGAGTAGAAAAGTCATAACCGTCAACAGAATTAAAAGGGCCATCAAAAGCACGTATTTTATCCAAAACCTCTAAAGAATTTTTAACACTCCAAAAGTAATTAATACCATTATTTTCATAAGCTTTTTTACAAAAGCTAATAACAAGTTCTTTGATAGTAGTAAGGGAGGTAGTTAGAAGAACTGATAGATTAGAAGTAGAACACTTAATAGATGCGGAGATAAAACGAAATTTAAATGGTTTTTTATGCAATTCAGGTAACCAGTACATAGTAGGGACTTTCAAATGTAAGCTGGGTAGTGGCAGTGATATGTTTGTTTACAATTTGCTTCTCTGTGCAGCGTACGGACCTGAATGTAGAAGAATTGATAATTTCGTATTGGAGAACTTCCGTGTAGCATATGCGTTACATCACCACTACATTATTGGCTGCTTAGTCTGCCGGTACGAACACAAACCGCTTTGCGAGTGCTTGGAGTTTATTTTTTTATTCTAGAAATGGGAATATCATGGACCCTATTATTAATTTCATAATTGTTTTCAAAATGAGTTATACGAATATTAACAGTAATTTTATTCAAATAACTGTCTAGAGATTTTTTATCAAATGTCAGCTGAAATATCAATCTTTCAATCTCAACAAATATGGTGTCGATAAAAAATCCAACATTTTGATGGTATCATTTTTTGTTTATTTGTTGTTGGAATCAGTGTGGTTCTTCACAAAGTAAGATTTTTTATGGCCTCAAACAACATGGACAAGGATTTTGTATCTATGTTTCTCATTTTTTTTGTGGCTAACTTTCTGTTTGATGAGATGATGTAGTAGATTTTAAAATTGAGCATGGGGAGTACTAGTGTAGAGTAGAAAAATCGAAGGTTTTGATATTCCTGAAAAATTGTAAAGATAGTGATTTTGAGTAGATCTTTTGAATTTTAAAGTATCCACATCTGATTGACACCGCTGGTTGAATACACCTCTTCACAATATTACTGAAGGTCATCTTATGCAGCAGAAAGAATGGGTATAGATACTGTAGAAACTTTCTTCAGGATGTTTAGTCAAATATTATAAGTTAAGTTATCTAGTAAAAAGATGAGAGATTTTAATCTTAAATGTTTATATTAAAAGGGGAGAGGAATAGATTTTCTTATATCTCGCGTTTCGTGAATGTTGTAAGGGTATATAAAAGCAACAGTAGTATACCGCTGTTCAAACTTAATAAATCGATTAAGAAAAAAACAAATCCGGATTACAAACTAAAACCGAGGGAAACACATCAACTATAAGAGGAAATCAACGGAACAACATAAACACTGTACTGCAACAAAAAAAAAAAAAAAAAAAAAAAAAAACGCCAACATACATAGAAACTGCCATATTCCTGACTTGGTACAGGACATTTTAAGAAAAAACGTATATGTGGTATTCCCAGTTTTGCTGTGGATTGTTAGTTCTTTCATTGAGAACACTAATGATTTTTGCATATATATACAAATGTGTTTAAAGTTTTGTTAGCTGGAATAAACAAATATTTGCCGTGAAGGATGGATAAAGCATTCACAACCTGAGGTTTCTCAAAAAGGTCAGAAACCCGTTTGCTTATTGCACATCGTAGATTTTGAATATGATTCTTAATTCTGAGATTGGTGTAGGTATCTGCTGAACAGCTTTTAATATTTGGTACGTCAGAATCGCTTTTTGGGGTGAACCTTCATCCAGAACGTTCAAGACTTCGAAAATTGAAAGCGAAAGAAATTCCTATGCGAATGAACGAGCAACTTCATGACGAAAGTGGACCTTAAAATACGATATCAAGTTTTTCCTCAGGGTACTTGAGGGACTAAAGAATCTTAGTTTCTTTATTATTTCTTTATTAGTCGACGGAGACTTTAAAAGAAAGTTAGTATTATAATGTCTGTACCGAGGCGTTTATATTATCGGGGACAAGCAGCAAACAAGCAGCGGTATAAACCAAGAAATGACACAAAATGAAAACGAGTCCTAGAAATTAAAATAAAATTGAGAATAGAAATTGGGAATGTGTCAAAGAGACAACAACCCTAAACAAAAATGTGTACTAGTTCAGTGAAAATAAACACTAAACTACGAAAGATAAAATTGAACTAAAATTTAAAACAAACACAAAAAAAAAAACAAAAAAAAAAACACAAGACTAACAAAGGACAGAGACTCCTGACTTGGGACAAGCTCAAAAATACCGCGGGATTAAACATGTTTTGTGAGATCTCAACCCTCCCCTATACTTCTAGCCAATGTAGAATAAACAAACACACAGCAATACGCAAAAAACTCAGTTTACAAGAAGTCCGAGTCCGATGTCAGAATAGGTAACAGAAGAAACTAAGCAAAATGACAATGATACATTAATTAACAAAGGACTACTAGCAGTTAATGACATGCTAGCTTCCGATCTCAATTAAACTGATTGAAAGATTATGTCTTCATCATATGAAAATCAAGTACAATCCCTCCCGTTAAAGAACACTTTTCGAGTTTGGTGTATCCTAAGCTCTTTTAAAGATTTGCTTCATCAGGCATGCTCATCCTCTAAGAATACGAAAGCCAAGGTTGTTTACTTATTTGAATACACGATAACCTATATAACCAAAAGGGGCACAAAAAGAATAGCAAAGTCCAAATAAAACCAACTTTGCCTGACATTGTTCGAACCTCAGATTGAAAACAAATTGAAATAAAATAACAAAAAGTGCATGTTACACACATGATAAAAATAACATTGCTCTACTTGTGCAGTCCCTAATTTATGAGTATTTGCTGTAAAAATTCATGCCTATTGCGTTTTTTTTTTGCTTGAAGAATCAGATTTTGGTTTTATACTTTAATATTTAGTTTCATTTAACATAAAATCACAAATGAAATTTCAGTGTACCAGAATTAGATGACCTAGAGTAATGACACAAATATTTCTCAGAATGTCACGACAACGATTTCCAAGAGGAATATGAGAATATTTTATGGTTTTTAGATTTTTATTTAGTTTTGTGGTAAGAAGACAAAAGCGACAATTGTGAGAATATAGAGTTTGCGTTTTGGAATCATTTCCATGTAATGCAACACTGTTTTGACTTCTGGTTTAATGTTCCTGTGATGTTAGCTACTAATTTGAAATAAGCTCTGATTTTCAAATGCTAGCAAGCAGTGTGCACTGCTCATACTTATCGTTATTTTGAAACTAGATTTACTCAATATATGTCATTACTATAAATTTTACACATACATATATATCCAGGTAAATAATCCTTTATAGTAGGACACATTGTAGAACAAATATTTTTGATGTTTTGTATTGTATTGCTCTTCAAACAAATAAACATGCTACTTACTTTTATTAGATGGATTATTTATATAAGTTATATTATGTTAATTTTGAAAAAGTTGATCTTAACCTTTCAAAAAATTGATCTTAACCTATGTGAATGAAACAAAACATAGGCAATCGGAAAAAATCTACAAAACTTGCCAAGGAAAATTAAGAAATATACTACACTTTTAACGTGTCAGTGCATGCGAAGTATGTTCTGATAACATTGTTAAATGTTCAAAATTTGTGCAAACTATCAAATTGCATTAACTGTATGTAAGAATGTTTGGAACGCTTTAACATGTATTTTTGCTCCTAATTGATATTCATGTCATTTATATTTTTAAATATTGTTTTGCAGGTCTTTATTGTTGTTTTTGTAAAAATATAATAATGTATTATCCCATTTGAGCATATAATGCGGCTGTAAGTTTAAAAATCACGGGAAATAACATTCATTCGTACAACATTCAAACATCAAGTGTACCATTCCATTGCCGGTGAATTGGATTTAAGTGTACAATTTTGTTGCTCATTTCCTGTTTTACATAATGTATCGTAATCAGCATAAACATTTGCACATAAACATAGTTGGAAACAAAACACATCAAGTTTTCAAAAGGAGGTATTATACAGATGATTTGTTTTTGTTTTTTTGTTTTTTGATTTTTTGTAAACATGTTTTATTATTATTACAGCTGATTCCTTCAAAACACAATCGCCGTGATATAGCCTCGTTGTGCTGATGCGGTGTAAAGCAATCACCAATCAATCAATTAATCAATCAAAACTCAAGTCGCTTAGCTAGGGTTCATGATAGTGAGTACAATATTGTTTAATCTTTATGCACATTTTTTGTTTAGTTTCCAAATACTTTTTATGCATATCATTTACAATGATAAATTTAGAGGACTGCCATACCATTATAAGGGTAATACACATAAATATTAACATTACATTCAATGGTAATATACGTTTTGACAGATATTTGTGCTTTTGATTGTTATTCATGTCATCTATATTTTTAAATATTGTATTGTTGTTTCTGTACAAATATAATCATCTAGTTTTCCATTTGAGCATTTTATGCGGCTGTGAGTTTTAAAATCACGATAAACACTGTGAGTAATAAATCCGATATTTAAGACAATAAAAAGCCAAGTATTTACTTCTTTATGGGAAATAACATTCAAACATCAATTGTACCTTTCCATTGACAGTGAACTTGATTAAAGTGTACCATGTCCTTGCTCATTTCTTGTTTTACATAATGTATTGTAATGTAATATAATCATCAAAAACGTTTACACAAAAACATAGTTGCAACTACAAAATTCAAGTCATCAAAAGGAAGTTCTATACAGATGAAGTTTTGTTTTATGTTATTAAAACATGCATAATTTTTGTAATAGTTGATTCCTTCAAACTCAAGTTGCCTAGCTAGGATTCAGGATATTTATTACTAGTACACTATTGTTTTATCTTTATGTTTATTTTTTATTTAGTTTTGAAATAATCGTTACAATTTATTGACAAGGATAAATCTAGAGGACTTTCATAGTATGTATTATAAGGGTTTTACTGTAAATGGTTTTATACAAGATATTGCACTTCAAAAATATGATTAAGTTATAAATATAGCAGTACAAGTATTTTGTCAAATCATCAAATCATCAAATAATATTAAAATTTGCTTTCCATGTTATACTAAGGTTTTTAGTTTAAAAATATGGATATATAAAGTAAATATTGAAAGCGTTCAGAACAGGGAAAATTGCTCTCTAGCAAAACTATGTGCTTATAAAAATGAGTAGATGTGGTATGATTGGCAACGAGTCAACTATCCACCAGAGAATACATGACGTATATGTTAGAAACTATAGGTCATTGTTCGGCCTTCAACAATGAGGAAAAACCATACCGAATAGGAAGCCATAAAAGGACCCGAAATACACGAAATACAAATATGATATACATGAACAGCAACAAACGACAGCCACCGAATTACAGGCACATACATAATATAGAAAGGAGGACATGTTTGCGGGCGCCTAACTCTCTCCTATCCTTGGACAATGACGTAACAGCACACAAAATAATAGACTATAAACTGTATATACTGGTATATTCAACAGTGCAACTAGATACAACAGATTACAAATTTTACACACGTAACGAAAATCACAAGGTTTAATAACGGATTTTTATGCAACCGTATTTAAACATAGAACTCATTTTGAATTATCAAGCATTCAATTCAAATGATGTTCGCATGTAATTAAATCATACATAAACAGAGGCACTGATTTTACCAGTTTATCTAGTATATTTAATGACTACTACTAAAAAAATATACCTCCCTGTTTTGCTTACATAGAACCACTTATTATATCGAATCCATACAAAAAAAAAAAAAACAACAGTAAAAGTATATTTTTTAATTCAACGTCAGTATAGAAAAAAAGATCTTTTAACTTAAGATTGTAAAAAATCCAATATTATATTTGACCCCTATTAACATGTTACTACACGGGATCTGAACATCGTTCATGACCGTGAGGTAGGAAAATTTCTGAAAAAAGGGAGTAAAAAAGATTGGAAACACGATTGTCATGTCATTTAAGACGATCTTTCACCCTATTGTAAAAATTGGTGTTAACGGAAAAATTCTTATGTATGAACATATCTTTATTCTTATTTTGATAAATGTATGAATATTGTGAATATATGAATATCACATTTTGAAAATAGTTTAAAAATAAATAAAAGGATAAATAAAAAGCCTTTTTCTAGAATAAGTAAAGCGGTTTTTGCTCGTACCAGCTGACAAAACAGCAAACAAAGTCCAAAATCAACTGTTTTGGAAGTTTATTTATATCGGCCTGTGCCGTGTAAATATCTCCTTTTGAGAACACCTGCCTAATAATGTTTCGTAGGGTTTAATACAGTTCAGATTTTGTGTCGTGAATTCAAATGTTCTTTACCTTAAAAATTGCCATAGTTTATGCCTCTTTAGACAACATCACTTATTAAACTATTTGCTGGCTTCTTGTATGTTTTCGATATTTTCCACTCACTTTGTGACGAAAATACGAACTACGTAATATTTCGGCCTTCAAATCTAAATGAAATTTCATAAATTTTAAACTATGACAAAATTTACTGCATGTATGAGCATTTCTACAAATAATGTCTCGTCACGGAGATGCATTCATTGATTTCAATGATTTCTAAAACATATTGTTATAAGGCAATTTCGCGAAGTAATGATGACAATCTATAAAGTATTTCGCTAGTTTTCATATCTGTAGCGTACATTGCTTTGTTAGTAACACATGACACATTTTGTCTGAAGGTTTCCAATGATTTATCGGAAATTTATTGAATATTTCAAGATATGTTACTTTATTGACATGTGCAACCGTATCAAGGATCTTACATTAGTTGACTTTGGAGGTTATTTATTTTTTATTATTTATCATGGACCTCATAGTTAAAAGTAGAATAACAAAAATACCGAACTCCAAGGAAAATTTAAACTGTAGGTATCTTAACAAATGTCAAAATCAAAAGCTCAAACACATCAAACGAATGGAAACACCTGTTTTATTCCTGACTTGGTGGACAAATGGTAGATTAAACCTGGTTTTATAGCTAGCTAAACCTCTCACTTGTATGGCAGTCGCATAAAATTCCATTATATTGACAACAATTTGTGAGCAAATCAAATAGACAAATGTTAAACATTGGGGTACAGTAGTCAACATTATGTTTTAATCTTAATCACTATAAAAACAAACAACTATGTCAACAACGAAAAACAAAATGACAAGTACACTCTCTATAGACAAAGTACATCAGCAAAAATGAAAGCCAAGAATACATAAAATGACCATAACACAATAACACAATGGCGGGGTGTATAAATACCGAGCCAAGCCAAAAGGATATTACAAAAAAAAAAAAAAAAAACAACGTCAGTACCTAAAATCTATACTTCAAGACCATCATGTATTATTTGTAAAGCTGATACGGAATATTTATCACCAAAGTCTTGGTTTCTTCAGATGAACTTTTTTTTAGAAAAAGGAAAAGACATTCTTTGACTTAAGTTATTGAACAACAGCTCGACGAATAACGCAAATAAAAGCTTTCGTCGTATGATATATTTAGCAATGTTTCGACCTTTCAATCCCTATATATCGAAAAGGCTGAATATAGATTTTTGTTTTGTTTTCATTATGTTAAAACATATATGTATGTATGATATGGATTGCAATGCGTATGAAAAGAATTTCTGCAATACCCACCTTCACAGAAGTCGACAATTAAACGTTTGAAATTAAATATAATAATATAGACAACGTTTTGAAATCGATATGTAAAAGTGACATAAATATAACAAATGCAACCATCGGAGGTCACACTTCCAAAAAGAGATGTAATAACGTTAAACAGTATCAATTTTACTGTACCATATAAGCATTTCAGCAATTTATATTTCTTCAATGATGCTAGATACCAAAATACTGCAAAATATAAATTATAAAACCAACATTCAAAAGCAGAAATAATAGAAAAAGACCAAAGTATAGCCGAACCCGCACTATAACTTAGAGATGTGCATGAGAGAGATACTGTCCTTAACTTCAAATGGTTCCCCTAGTTTTAACAATATCCTTATGGTCATTTAAAAATCGAAGTATTGAGCTACTGGACTTAGTATATCAACGGGGATTTACGCTCAACTGGTAGACGTATCGACTAAATGATAATACTGGCATTAAACGGTATCAAGTTTATTGCTTAAAATGTCAACAATTAATATATCTTCTGGGAGAAACAGGGCATAATAATTGAAAATCCAAGACATAATTCACGTATTCAAGAGAAGATAGAACCAAATAGAATCTAAAGCCGAACCCTGACAAGAATCAGAGCTTTGCATGCATTTCTTAACTTAATTTCCCATATTTTATAATAGTAAAAGAGAAGGTTCTTCTGTTGGGGTATCATAAACTTTGGTTCTGACATATAAATAAGGATATTAATTATTGGGGGACAGGTTGCAATAAGGGCCTTATTTGGCTTAATTTTAACTGAAATTAAACTTTTAATTTTAACATTCTCCTTTACTGTTATACAACTTTGCTTGAAAACCTTCAAACTTTATTTTCGTTATAATGTTTAGTAGAAATAAGAGGATGTGGTATGAGTGCCATGACACAACTTCCCATCCAAGTCACAATGTGTAAAAAATATACAATTATAGGTCAAAGTACGGCCCTCAACACGAAGCATTGGCTCATACCGAACAGCAAGCTATAAAGGGCCCCAAAATGACTAGTGTAAAAACAATTCAAACAGGAAAATTAACGGTCTAATCTATATAAAAAACGAGAAACGGGAGACACTTATAAACCACATCAACAAACGACAACCACTGAACAACAGGCTCCTGACTTAGGACAGGTGCAAACAAATGCAGCGGCTTTAAACGTTTTAACAGGCGCCAACCTTCACTCTACCTGAAACAGTAGTGTAGCATTTCAACATAGAAAGACACACGATAAAATATCAATTGAAATTGCTTAACTCGATCAAAAAGACATAGATTTATAAACAGACAATTTTAGAAAAAGGCTTGTTATAAATTATATCAGTACCATAGTAGTGAAATGTATATAAAAACTTATATTTGGTTATCAATTTTTATTTTCTTGTCGTTACCACATTTTTTGTACCCAAATGTGACCTACTGAATTAGACGTATCACCGGTTGTGTACTTACATGATCAAACACATCGGGTGCCACATTTGGAGCTGGATCTGCTTACCCATGTGGAGCACCTAACATCACCCCCGGTTTTTAATGCTGTTCGTGTTGCTCAGTCTTTAGTTTTCTGTGTTCTGTTCTATATACTGTTGTTTGTCTTTTGGTCTTTTTTTCGTTTTTTGCCATGACGTTGTCAATTTATTTTCGACTTATAAGTTTGAAAGTCCCTTTGGTATCTTTTGCCTCTTTTTTTTGTAATGTAAACATGCACACTTATTACATATATATATGCTATTCACGTGTATGTTTATAATCCTGGTACCTTTGATAACTATTAACGACTTGTGATAAGGCAGAGGGTATATACATACCTCAAATGAAGAATCTACATTGGAAACAAGTTTGGTTTCGTCTTAAGTGTTTGAATACTAGTATCCCTTTTGTATCTTTCGGCTCTTGTTTTTATTGGTTTGGTAGCTTGGCTTTCTTTTTCCATTGTGTTGTAAGTGTTTCTATATCAAATATAAACTGCCTTTCAAAAAATATGGGCAACACTACTCTATTGTCATAAATCGATTTAGATGATGACAATTTAGATAACTAATGTTAGAGTTGCAACTGCACAAGGAACAAATAAGTTGTATGACAGGGTAAGCGTCTCCTGCAATGCACCCATCACCGACCATGTGAATCCAAATTTTTCAAAATGTCACACATGGGAATAAAACACAATCGGTAAAATTATAGATCAGACGACTATTCTTGTATCTTTATAATTTTAACCGTTAAAATATTTCGCTAGTGAGTTGAGACAAAAACATATCGTATCTGCCAACTTATTCGTAATGATGACCGTAAAGCAGGTGTAGTGTCAAGACGTATTAATTGAGATATATACACGCCATACATTGGTTCAGAAGATATGTTAA